TCCTAAGTCCTTTTAGTTAATGACGTGGAAGAGGAGTTGGGGTAGGGAGAGAATGCACCCCTCCTCCCCTCCTCCCTTCTTTACATAGCAGATCTTCGGGACCCAGCCTCGTTAACGATAACTCGGTAAGTGCCGCGCTGGGAAGGGTTGGGGCAAGGGGCGGAGGGACTCCAAGGTGGGGAGGCTCTTCAGCTGCCATTAGCATCTCAGGGAGAGGCTGGGACCAGGGTCCAGATGTCAGCTTGCTCCTACCTGCATCCCTCGCCTCCTTGCAGGAAGTTTGAGTTTAACCCAAAGTGGGGCATTGATAATCCTGTCCTCTCTCTGGCTGAAGACTACGACCCCTCTGGTAACCCCCTGGCCCTGGGCAACCGTTCCCTTTCCCCAGAGATACCACAGCTCCTCACGGCCTCCCATCTCCTTGGTAACCACTGCACTCTGCCTCCCTCTGATAATAGCCTTGGTGGGGAGTAACTACGCCGAGGTAGGAGGGGGTTGGCTGTTTTCTTTTGTCTAAGCCCCTCTGTCCACGTGGTATTTGGCCTCACTGCCCAACACCTAACTGGGTAGAAGCCTGCCCGGTGTCCTATCACCAGGGCAGGGTCGTTGGCCAGGCCAGGGTGACTTGTATGTGGGCCTTGTCCCCTCCCCTCCCCCTCTTCTGTTGCCCACCTCCCCCTCTAGATCTCTGGAGCCTGCAGCGGCCGCGTTTCTGTCTGCTGAGCAAAGAGGAAGGCAGGAGTTTTGGCTTCCACCTGCAGCAGGAGCTGGGCAGGGCTGGACCTGTGGTGTGCAGGGTGGAGCCAGGCACCTCTGCCCAGCACCAGGGTCTTCGGGAAGGGGACCGGATCCTGGGGGTGAATGACCATGTCGTGGAATGTGAAGACTATGCTGTGGTGAGGTTGGGCTGGGGGCCTCCCTGTGGAATAGAAGGACGTTCCATAGCACCTCAGGGAGAGAGAAGTCAGTCGGTCACCTCCCTGGATATATGGGGGCAGCACCCAAGCCTCAGCCTCCCTCACCTCCCAGGATCTAGGGCTGTCCAGGTGGGAATGGTTGGGTGAAGGCGTACAGAAGGAGCCATTCACCCTGGCTCCCGGGGTGAAAAATGGAGGTTCCAGGGACTGGGAGTTGGCAAGAGGAGCTGGCCCCGACCTCATCCCCCACGCCCTCTGTTCAGGTGGTTCGCTGCATCCGGGCTAGCGGTCCTCGGGTGCTGCTGACGGTCTTGGCGCAGCACGTGCATGACGTGGCTCAAGCTCAGCAGGGCAACAGTGCCCCCCTCTGTCCTCCTCTCGGCCCGCGGGTCCGGCCCCGACTATGCCACGTAGTGAAAGACGACGGTGGCTTTGGCTTCAGTGTCACCTACAGTGAGCTTAGAGGCTTGGGGGGCGGAGGCCAGGAGGGGGATCTCCGCCCTGTTCTGGGCAGCCAGTGGACCGAAACTTGCTTTTTTTGGCTTCCAGGCCGTCAGGGTCCTTTCTGGCTGGTGCTGAGTCCTGGAGGAGCAGCGGAGCGGGCAGGGGTGCCCCCAGGGGCCCGGCTGCTAGAAGTGAACGGGGTCAGCGTGGAGAACTTCACCTACAGCCAACTCAGCAGAAAGGTATGGCTGTAAGTTTCCCTGTTCATCCTCACGCACCAGGGCCCCGGGGCCTTGCCTCAGGCAGCCGATTCCTCCCCCACGCACCTCATCTCCGAATTTGACCTTGTACCTCAGGCCATCCTGCCCTTTACAGTTGGTCCTAGGCTCTGCTCTCCCCGACCCTTGCTGCCTCCTTCCTGGGGCTGTGAGGAGGGCCTGCCCCTGCCTTCCCTACCCAGGTGCTTGATGCTGATGCCCCGCTGGGTCCCCACAGCTTTGGCAGAGTGGAGAGCAAGTGACCCTGCTGGTGGCAGGGCCAGAGGTGGAGGAACAGTGTCGCCAGCTGGGAATGCCCCTGGCTGCGCCCCTGGCAGAGGGCTGGGCCCTGCCCACCAGGCCCCGCTGTCTGCACCTACAGAAAGGGCCCCAGGGCTTTGGGTTCCTGCTTCGTGAGGAGAAAGGTCTTGACGGTCGCCCTGGTGAGTAGGAGCCCCAGAGATGGGTCGGGAAGGTGTGTCTTGGAGGCGGGCACACATGGGGTGCACAGAAGACCCCAGCCCTGAGCCTCCTCCTCTTCCTCCGGCGCCCCCCCCGGGCTCAGTCCCTCCGGGTGCCCACGGTGGCCTGGGCTGGTGCTGGAGTTCGTTGGGGGAGGAGCGATGAGGATGTTTATGTCCCAGGACAGTTCCTGTGGGAGGTGGACCCAGGACTACCAGCTGAGAAAGCCGGGTTGCAGGCCGGGGACCGGCTGGTGGCTGTGGCTGGGGAAAGTGTGGAGGGGCTGGGCCATGAGGAGACGGTGTCCAGGATCCGGGCGCAGGGCTCCTGTGTCTCCCTCACTGTTGTCGACCCTAAGGCTGACCGCTTCTTCAGCATGGTGCGAGTGAGGGGCGGGGCTGGAGTGCGGGCAGGGGTGGAGCAGGGCTCACGTGGAGGGAGAAGCTACAGGTCCGTTCTGTCTGCCTCCTTCCAGGTTCGCTTGTCCCCACTTCTCTTCTTGGAGAACGCGGAGGCTCCTGCCTTTCCCCAGGAAACCTGCTCGGCCTCTCTGGTTGAAACCAAGGACCTACCAGATGAAGGGACAACCATGCCTCCTGTCCTGGGCGGCTCCCACCAGTGCTCCCTGTACCCTGGGCCTGGCGGTGCCTATGGCTTCCGACTTAGCTGTGTGGCCAGTGAGCCTCGCATCTTCATTTCCCAGGTGACTTATGCCCCATGGACCTTGGATCTTTCCAACCGTTTGCCTCCTGATGAGCCTTCATCTGCTTCCCGCCCAAGGTCTTAGAAGGTCCAGCAACTTTTCCATGGTATCCCGTGTTTTGTCACCTCTCTCTTCGCCACCAGGTGACCGTAGGAGGTTCAGCAGCCCGGGCAGGGCTGCAAATGGGAGATGTGATTCTGGAGGTGAACGGGTATCCCATGAGTGGAGAGAATGACCTGGAAAAGCTTCAGCAGCTGGCCGAGGCTGAGCCACCCCTCCACCTGAAGCTGGCAGCGAGGTCTTGCCCAGGCTCGGAAGCCTGCAACCCCCCCAGGTTTGGAGAGGTGAGGAAGAAGAGACAGATGGGCCATCAGCAGCCAGAGAAGGATAGAGAGAGTCAGCGAGGAAGGCTACAGGGTGAAGCAGTGTGGGGCACGCGGGTTGGGACGCTAGGCCATGGTAGGTGGGGACAGAGGGACCCATGGAATTAGCTGCCATTCCTGGGCATTGCAGTGCAAGTGGGGGCCGGGAAAAGGAACTCTTAGCATCCTTGAATGACCTTCTCTCTTCTCTCTCTGCTCAGGACTGGGCTCCAGCGTCAGAGCTGCTATAGTCCTCTCCTACCGGGCACAGATCTGCCCAGTGGCCTTCCTGTCTTCACTCTCCGGCTTGCAATGGTAGGAGCTGAGAAGCTCTCTTTTAAGCCAGAAGGGACAGCTCTAGGATTCTGGGCACCTCCAATCACAGGATTGCCCAGGGTCTCCCTCCCTTCCCTGGGGCCCACCTCCCAGAAGAAGGTGTGGCCAGAGGCCTTAGGCAGGCCCACCAGGGGGAGGTTTGCCCTCTGGTTCCAGAGGAAGTCCTACGGGAGCTTTGGGAGTTGTGTTCCCATGGATGAGTGGTGTGATTTTGTGATTTATAATAAATTATACTCTTTCCCGGCACAGAGCTCCTAAAACCCTTGGAATTTCCTAAGTAGTGAAAGTGATAAAGATGTCTTCTTTTATTCATAACAAGCCCCTTTCAACCACACCTAACTTTGTTAAGGAAGTGACTTTTGGGAAGCACCTAAGGATGGGGGACTGGTTGCCAGGGGAACCAACCATGTGATTAGAGGGTTGGAACTTTCAGCCCCCCGCCACCCCCCCACGCTGGACCTCCTGGGAGGGGAGAGGTGCTGGAGGTTGAATCACTCACCAACGACCAATTGTGTCATTGATCATGCCTCCATAGTGAAGCCTCCATGAAAAACCAAGAGGATGAAGTTCCGAGAGTTTCCCGGTTGCTAATTGCGTGGAGGTGCTGCGAGGGTGGCACCCCCGAAGAGAGCATGGAGCTTCTGTGCTCATGCCTTGCCCACAGCATACTTGCCCTCTGGCTCCTCCTGAGTTGTGTCCTTCGTAATAAACTGGTAAACTAGCGAGTAAACAGTCTCTCTGAGTTTCGTGAGTCACTCTAGCAAATGATGGAACCCGAGGAGGGGGTCGTGGGAACCTTTGTTTCTGGGCCAGTGGGTCAGAAGCACAGGTGACAAGCTGGACTTGACACTGGCGCTTGAAGTGGGGATAGTCTTGTGGGACTGAGCCCGTGGCCTGTGGGATTGGATGCTCTCTTCACATGAGTAGCGCCAGAATTGAGTTAAATTGTAAGATACCCAGCTGGTGTCCACAGAGCTGTTAGAGATTTGCTTGGTGGGGGAACCCCTCCACACACACATCCACACACATGTGACTGGAAGTGAAGTAGTACTGGGAGTGTTGCCATAAAATAGACGAGGAACACAGAGTTTTCCCTTTAGAGGTGGGCTGTGGGGCTGGCTAGGATTGTTCCAGATGGAACTTGCCCTAGGCGTGACTCCTGGACTCTCACATATATTGCAAGAATTTGGAGACCAGTTACACCTTCCCTCTGCAAGCACCTCAGGATTGTGGGGGCTGGTGCCTGGTCACTATTGGTCTATTATAGAAATGGCCTTGGCCCCCACAAATCAGGCTGCCTCTGTTGGTGGGGGGGAGGGGGATAGGAGATGGTGATCTGAAGGGACCAGAAGGGCCCCAGACTCAAGGCATGCGGCCCAGTTTCTCTAAGAGAGGAGTTGAGAGTTTGTCAAATTTATCTCCTCTCCTTTGGTCTTCAGGGTAATGGGTCAGCCCAGAACCAACATGCCCCCAAAAGGAGACACTCATATCTGCCAAAAAGCCACAGACCACAGTTCTGTTGAGTTCTACATCAAGACAGCTTTATTGCTGGAGCCTCCGAGGGCCCCAGAGACTAGCGGCTTACAGCTTCAAAGATCCTGGGGGTTGAGTCCAAACTGGTGGAGCTGCTCCTTGTACTTGGCGTGAAGTCTCAGCACAGCCCCGTCCCACTGAGGCTTGACAGCTCTCAGCTTGGCCAAGAGTTGGTCCAGGCTGCCCTGCAGACACCAAGCTTCAGGCCCCAGGAAGGGAGAGGGTAGAATGAGGGGTGCCCCAGGCCTGTCTGTAAGCTTTCCTCGCTGGTGTCTTCTTCAAGTTCTTACTCTTAGTAAGTAGGCATGGTTGTATTCCCCTGGCTGTCTGCCCTCAAGACAGAGCAGGGTTTCCTGTGGGGATGCTGCTTCTCCTTCCCCTGGTCTGTCATTGATGACAATGATAGCAATGAACTAGTTGGGGTCTGGGGGCTGGGGGAGTGCTAGGTACTGGGGGGGTTGGGCTTCCAACGGTGGGGCTTACATGTAAGATTTCCTCATACTTGGCCTCCATGTGTGCCACATGGGCCCGAAGCTTAGCCAGGGTCTGGTCCCGCTCTCCGAGGGCCCGCTCCGCCTCTTGCCGTGCAGCCTCGGCCTCCCTCTGGCACGTCTCTGCAGGGCAAGGCGGAAGGATGAAGGGGACTGCATAGTGATGCTCTACCTGTAAACAGAGTCTCCAAAGGCATCTAAAAAGCAGAACTTGAATGGGATCATCCCAGACTCCCCCCAGGATCATCAGTTTTCCCACAGTCCGTATAAAGCGCTGACGTACCCCATTAAGGTACAGAGAAAGTAATGGGCTTGGGACAGGGATGTGGGTCCAAAGTCTGGTTGTCACTTACTCCTTGTGTAACCTCGGACATGCCTCTCTCTGAGACTCAGTTCCTTCATCTTTAAAGACAGACTGACACAAACCTTATAGGCTTACCGTGAGTGAAATGTGAGAATGTATGGGAAAATACCTAGTATTTACAGGAGGTGTTCCATAAATGCTGATTGAGTTTAAATTTGAGATAAGGCAAGGATTAGGAAAGGAATTCAGGGTCTGCCTGGCAGATAAGCAATTCTTGGGTATCTGTAGCTAAACTGAGGCTATTTTAGGGACGCTGACTTAGTTGGTAGAGCCTGAGACCCTTGATCTCAGGGTCATGAATTCAAGCCCCACGTTGGGCGTGGCACCTAGTAAAAAAAAAAAAGAAAGAAACTGAGGCTATGTTAGGTTAAGAAAACTTTGAGACTGGGCGCCTGGGTGGCTCAGTTGGTTGGGCAACTCTGTTTGGCTCGGGTCATGATCCCGGAGTCCCGGGATGGAGTCCCACATTGGGCTCCTGGCTCGATGGGGAGCCTGCTTCTCCCTCTGACCCTCTCCCTTCTCATGCTGTTTCTCTCTCTCTCTCTCTCTCTCTCTCAAATAAATAAATAAATAAAATCTTAAAAAAAAAAAAGAAAACTTTGAGACCACAATTGTGAAAGATCTTATGTGCCATGCTAAGATAGTTCAACTCTATCCCTTAACCAAGAGAGAAAGGAAAAACTTCCTGTTCTTTACATTTTTGCTTATCTGCAAGGTTCATTCCTTTAGTTAGCAATAATTATGCAGGACTTGGCATGCACTTGGCATTGAAGATACGAAAGTAAATAAGTCAAATATCTTTCCTTAGTTTCATTGTAAAAATCAGCTAGGAGGGAATATATTTCGCTCACGACAGACCATGGCAGGGGTGGGGCGAAAGATCTGGATTTGGAGAGACCATCGAGAGAGGGAGATGGGGTGAGAGACTCAGGTCTGCTTTAGTTACAACGTAGAGATTTTTGCCATCTTGAGCCCTCTGCTCCAGTCCTCCATGGTGGGACAGTCAGTGGGGAAAATGGTCCAAGAGCCTAGACTGCAGTCTTCTAGAGAAGGACCATCTTCAGTCCACCCCTGCAGGCTGGACCTTGTCAGTGCACTTGAAGAGAAAGGGCTTGGGGGGGCGGGTTGGGGAAGCCTACCCAGCTGCTCCCGAAGGCCCGTCACTTCCTCCTCCAGCTTCCTGCTGTGGATCTCCATTTCCTTCTGCAGGGCCCGGCACTGACGGCTCATCTCTGTGGTGGGGGCAGAGGGTGACCAGGGACCGGGTATGGATGGAGTAGTGGAGAAATGAAGGGAAGTTGTGGGTGGGGAAGGGCCTGCTTGTCCCAATGGGACAGGAGCACAGAGACCTTCTCAGTTCTTGTGAGAAGCTGACAGAGCCTGAACACCTGGGGAAGAGCTAGGAAACCACACCCCTTCCCCCGTTCCAGCTCAGGACCGGGATTCTAGCTCTTCTCCTCACTCACTCCCAAGGCACAAATGAGACAAAAGCCATGTAATTTTTTGTAATCCACATTGCAGGAGGTAATCCACAAAGCACGTGGCATCGGGCATCCTGGAAGGTTCCTTCCCCGGGATCCAGGAGTCTTTCCTTGGGTTCCTTTAGGCCCCTGCCTGATTCATGCTGAGCCAGGAACGTTGGGGCTAGGTGGGGCAGATGGAAGTCCTCCTCGGTTCCCTTCCTTGCATCCTCTGGCCCTCCTGATTGTCCTCTTCCAGGCCCCTGTCTCCTGCCCACATGCCTGACCAACCACACACCTGCATAGATGGCCTTCCCCTCACTTCGGGCCTCCTCCAACTCAGCCTCCAGCACTTGCAGTCTCTGCCTCAGCTGCTCTTCAGAAGCTTTGGCCCGGCGGGCCTCATCCCTCCGAAGAGCTGTGAAAAGTCCCAGAGCAATGCTCACACCTGGCTGGGGATCCCACTGAATCAGGCCCCGTGGGCTGGATAGACTCTGCCCACCTCTGGGAACCTGGTGGCAGATCCCCAGCCTCTCATTCTCTCTCTGGGTTGGTTGGATGGTTTTTCCCCTAGAATCCCATGAGCTCTTCATTTCTAGGAAGGAGAAGCTCCACGTTCTGCTTATAAAAAATAGCTATCCTCACGCACCCTTTCCTTTCTCCACGAGGGGACGGAGGAGAGGTCAGCTCGGCCTCCTGCCACAGCTCCAACTGTCCAAGCCTCCAGGATGCAAAATGCCGCCTTGCCCCACCTCTGTTGTCCCAGAGCTTCCACCCTTCTTACCCAGGTGGTCTTGGAGCAGCTCCTTCTCCGGCACTGTCCGCCGGTGCGTGGACTTAGCCTCCATGTCTGCCCTGGCAAGTTGGCAAAGCCTCAGCTTGTCATCATCTCAGCCTTTCCCACGTCTCCCCATCCTCAGCCCACACCCTGGACTTTCTTCCTGCAGTTCCGAGGGCCTCCAAATGAGGGATCTCTGATGGCAATCTACTGAGTTCACCCCTGTGTCCCGGCTGCCCAGCACAGAGGAGATACTCGGAATATGGGTCATGACTATATTAAGGAAGGCACAGAGCCAGAAGGGCATCATGGAGTTGGGTGCATGCTGACTTCCCCAATTCCCCAGCTCCCTGGAACCTGGGCGGGGGGTGGGTCATGAAAGCTCCATCTTGTCATGCAGAGGGCTCCATTCTCTCTGGAGCACCTCCACCTGGTCTCCAGGCCAGAGCATGGAGAAGCAGGAGGCACTCACCTCCAGCCGCCCTGACTCACCAGCACCCGCATTCTCTTTCTTTTTCTGTGCCCCAGTTTTCTTCCCTTTTTCTTTGGTCTTGGGTGGCATCTCCTTGCTGTCCTGGGGAGAGAGAGGACTCATATTTACGCCCGGGGCATGGGGCTCCTTTCCCGACCCCTAGATTGAACCAGGAGTCCCAGGAGAGGTAGAGTTCTAGTCTCCAAGTCTGTCTCTTCTACTTTCCAGAAGCTTCCATTCTTGGTCTCCTTGGAACCTTAGGCAAGGCTGGGGTGTGGGGAGGGTGGAGCTGTTTCTTTCTACCAGTCAGGTTCTATGGGCAGAAATCATTCCTCTCAATCCTCTTTTGGAGGAAAATACATCTCAGTACTTGTCCCTTCCCTCTTCCCATCATCCTTACCCTGCCTCTTCCTACCTGTGGGATCCTCTCTGGCCTCTGTTGTGTCTCCCTGTGGGGAGGACCCACTCATGGGGAGGGGCAGAGAAAAGGCCCAACCAGCTGGGAGCCCAAGGAGGAGCCTGGGTTCTGGGAGCCAATCCAGGGTGACAAACTTCCTCCGAGGGCAGAACTGGGAACTGCACGGTTGGGTTTCTGGAGACCGAATGTTGCCCAGGTAACTGGGAAACATGGAGCTCACAGACAGGTGGAATGTGCCAAGCACAAAGCTTAAAAGAGCAAGGTCCTGGAGGGTCGCTTCTCTCCTTATCCCTAAATCCTAAATGCAGTCTGAGGAGAAAAGGCTTCAGAGCCGGTTAGTTATGCTTCATTTCCATGTAGCAGTGCCTGAAGTTTGGAGACTTACAAATTACAGACTTACACATCTGATATGATGCTGTTGTGCTGATACAGAGGAAAAGCGCTGACAGTGGCCATTTTAGGCGATTTACATCCCTAGGGCTCATGAGCGAGCACAGGACATTATTAGGCTTTGGGAAGGCATTCTATAGTGTCTGAGGGGAAGAAGAGCAGGAGAAGGTAGCCGAGAGAGTTTCTCATTTCAGAGAAAGGAGACACAGAGGAGAGGTAGACCCAAGGACTCCAGGGTGCTGACATAGAGGGAGGCAAATGTAGAAGAAAGGATATTGGTTATAGACAAGAGCCGTGAGTTCTAGACGCCCTCCGGTTATGTAACCTTGGGCAAGCCATTTAATTTTGCGCAACCTCAGTTTCCTGGTCTTTAAGTCTTTGACTCTGTAAATCCTGAAAGGCCTGGATTTTCACTGGGTATTCACAGGGCTATCTTCCCTTGTGGGGACTTAATTTACTGCCTCTCTTCCCCTATTCCCTAATGCGGCTGATTTTCAGCCTGGTGCAGGGAAACTACTTTGCTAGGCTCCCCGCAGTATTGAGTTGGTCGGAGCTCCCTCTAGTGGACTTGCTTCTCCTCCGGAGTCTCCTAAATTTTTCTACTTAAATTCTTGGGAGGGGTGCCTCCCTCTTGGGGATACTTCCTACCATCTTGTGGGGGGTCATGAGTGGTTGGAAAAACAAATTTAGGGAAGGGAGAATGATGGGTGACTTTTCCTTGTCCCCACCGTTCTTCCAGCCCTGTGCCATTCTGGAGACTTGTCATCAGTCTGTCATCTGGATCTCTGGGCACCATACTGGCTCGAATGAAAACAACAAAAACATCAGGGATTTTCCTCTTGGGGATCAAGGAAACTGCAGACTCTTTAGATGTTTCTCTCTCTCTCTGTCCCCCTCAACACTCTTGGTCAATTGCCTGTCGTCAGGAGCAGATCTGAAGAAATAGCTTTGAGATCTGGGATTTAAAAATCCTTCCTCTGGGGAGTGGACAGACTCAGGTGGGGGCTGATTCATGTTTATTTGTCACCTTTGTGGCTGCAGGGAACTTCTCTGACCCTTCAGACATTTTACAGAGTAAAGAGAAGAACCAGGCTTGCCTTTTCCGGGGCTTATAGTTCCTGTACCCCAGGGTCAGATAACTTTGTGCACAACTCCCAAATCTGGAGAATACTTTTCTTCTCATGTTGAAGTGTGTTTTTCCTCTATTCTTCCTCCAGAACTCTTTGCCCCTGCATAGGAATGCAGTAGACATTCCTGCTGCAGTCTTTCTCCTCATCTGGAAGCCTGTTTGGGGTCATTTTCCAGGGAATGATTAGGTTCTGCGTTACGCTGATGCATGGGATGACATTTTGAGGACATGGCTTACTGAATACAAACAACATATCATGCCTCAGAAGAGCATTTACTTTTCAAATATGTTCAGTCAACCGACTTTCAGGTGCAGAATGAGGATGTGGTTTGGGTGAAGGTGAAATGGAATAAGAAAATTGCCCCGTATCACATGATGTGATGATACGAACTGAGCTAGCTCTAGAACAAGCCAAGAATGCGAATGACATTGTGATCAACAATCCAGTCCCATCTTTAGTATACATTGAAAACAAGCCAAGTAAAAATTGTGTGTGTGCGTGGGGGGGCGGGGGGGAAGGTCAATCTTTCCTTCTTTTCTCATTAACTTCAGTTTAGAAGTGAAAATAGGAAAGATCATCTCAGCAGAACTCTGTCTTCCTCTGAATAGGATTCCATCTGGGAGTTTTGAAGAGATATAGAGGAGAGAACTGTCACTCTCTCTGCTTTATTCGAATGTGAGACATAGGTCATTTGTATATTTAAAGAAATATGGCTTTTTCTCTTTTACAGGGCGCCTGAGCGGCACAGTCAGTTAAGCAACTAACTCTTGATTTTGGCTCAGTTCCTGACCTCAGGGTAGTGAGCTAGAACCCCACCCTTGGGCTCCGCACTCGGAGCAGAGTCGCAGTAGCTTCAGATTCTCTGCCTGCAAACCCTCCCTCCACGCCTCGTTTGCGTGGCTCCCGCGCGAGCATGCGCACGCTCTCTGTCTCGCTAATAAATCTTAAAAAAAAAAAATTACGTTTTTTTTTTTCTTTTTAGAGAGCGGGGAGGAGCAGAGAGAGAGACTCTTAAGCAGGCTCCACACCCAGTGCAAGCCCAATGCAGGGCTCGACCTCATGAACCTGAGATCATGACCTGACCTAAAATCAAGAGTCAGAGGCTCCCAGGCGCCGCAAGAAATATGGCTTCTGCAAGCAGAAGCGAAGTACAAATTATGCCATTACATTCTATCCAGGTGGTACTGAAGCTAATACAAATTGGAAGCCTTTAAAGGAAGCCAGAGATGTGTACATGACCCAGACGAACTCATATAGGCCCAAGGGTTAATTTCTTACCTGTATTCCATTAAATCTAGGTTTGACGATGAGGGGGAAAAATACCCTGTGTACTTACACTATGTTACGTACTGTGGAAGACCAAAGTCAAGACAGCATAGCATAAATTAATGTGAGGTAGCTGTGAGAATAAATGGTTATGGAAATTTAGAGGAGGAAAGGATTATTTCTAGCTGGAATGTCTGGTAAGAAAGAAAATATTTGAGTTGAGTTCTGAAGAATGGACTGGACTTCAGTAGCACACTTTAGGCAGAGGGAACACTCTCAGCAATGGTGATAAAAAAAGAATTGTGGTATTTTGTGACTTGGGAGTCACCCAGCATAGGATATACGTATTGGAACAGTATAAAACTGCAAGGTAGTCTGGAGTTAGATCATGACTGTTAACTTTATCCAGGAGACAATCAGCAGTGTTTGAAGTTTTTTTCTGATGCGATCAGAACTATACTTCAGTAAGACTGGTCTAGTGGCAGAATGGATTGGAGGTGGCAGGGAAACCAATGAGGAAAAGGTTTCAATAAATAGATCAGGGGAGAGAAAGGGAGGGCCTGCAACCAGGGTGGCAGATGGGAAGTTTTGACAATTATCTAAGAGGCTTGCCTAGGTTTTCCCTTGGGAGATGTCTTCTCTTTCTAGGTAGGAACTGATTAAAGGAAATTCCACTGATAGGAAATGATAATGTTGACTCCATAATCAATCTTAGGTAAAGGCCATGCTCAAGGATGTCTGGCTGATGGGTCCTTGAGTTCAGATTTTTCTCTTGTGACAGGAGCCCGCGATAAACTTAACTCCTTTATCAGTCAAGGGCTTTGTGGAAGACCCAGGTGGGGGAGCTAAGACGAAACTGAGTACTTACAGGCACACTAGAGCCTGCAAGCTCCCAAAGAGGCGGCTCAGAATTAGCAAATAAGGGCAGGGCACTTCCTTCTTTAGGAAGAAAGTTCCCTTTTTTTCAAAGTTTTTCCAGCAGAACTTTTAGATTAGAGAAGTGGAAATAACTGGGAACTGCATTTCTCTTCCATGAGAGGAACGAGTACTCCTCTGGCCAGAGCTCACAGCTGTCTTACAGCTTCTGTGGTCAAGGCCTGGTGCTGGCGGTGCTGACCTGCGGTGCAATGCATGGAGCCCAATGCGCTGAGCTGGGGAATCTTAAGTACATACTGAATTCCCAGAAAAAGGAACTAGTGTTCAGAAGCCAAAAAAGGGGTAAGTGTTTTGTTTTCAGAAGGTCAAAGGGCCTGGAAGAAGAGCTTGCGGCCTGAGTGTCTCAAGCCTTTCTGGGCTGTAATCAGGCTTGAACAATCCGCAGCAGTCACATTCCTGTTCTTGGTGCCGATTTAATGAGTTCAAAACACCAACGGGTGGGGAAAGAGCTTCCGTTTTTCTCCCACAATGTGAAGAAGCAAATGGCTTTAAGCTCAATTTCCTCATCTATCAGGTATGGGGGAAAGACCTGACCTTGAGGTTCTTTCCACGGCTACTTGTCTTCATTTAAATATCCCAATAACCCACTCAAAGAACGCCCACAAGGAACATGGAGAGCTCGGCTTCTGTCTCGTGCGCAGACTCCATGCCGGGCCCCGCCCCTCCCTTTCCCGGCTTCTCCAGCAGGGGGCGCAGGCGCAAAAGTTCCGCCTGGGCCCGCCCCCGGGGGCAAGGGAGGGGTAGGCGGCGCGGAAACTTGGCCGCGGCTTTCCGGGAGCTGCGGCTCCGGAGGGGGTGGCGCAGGAGCGGTCTCTACCCAGTCCCGACCAGGCCGCTGGCTTCCCCGAGCTCTGCGCGCTCCTCCCGTCCCCGGGCTCGCGCGCTCGGAAGGGGCGCGCCCGCGCGGACCCGCGCTCCCGTCGCCGCCCACTCCCCTCCCCGCGGCCGCCCCTCCCTCCGCCCGGACGGCCGGCGGCGGCGGCGGCGGCGGCGGCGGCAGCCGGGAGAGGCCCCTCCTTCACGCCCTCCTTCTTTCCCTCGCTCGCAGCGGAGCGGAGCCGGCGAACGCGGCTGAGCCCCCAACCCACCCCGGGCCATGGCGGGCAACGTGAAAAAGAGCTCCGGGGCCGGGGGCGGCGGCGGCTCCGGGGGCTCGGGCTCGGGCGGCCTGATCGGGCTCATGAAGGACGCCTTCCAGCCGCACCACCACCACCACCACCTCAGCCCCCACCCGCCCGGCACCGTGGACAAGAAGATGGTGGAGAAGTGCTGGAAGCTCATGGACAAGGTGAAAGGCCTGCCCGGGACCCGCGGGAGCAGGGGTGGGCGTGGGCGGAGGGGCCGAGGGAGGGGAAGGAAGGGACAGAGGAAGCTGGGGGAGGGGACGGGTCATGCGGGGCTTGGGGAGGCGAGGAGTTGGGGTGACCCGGCCGAGAGGGTGGGGGACGTGGGGGTGGGGAAGAGACCGGGAAGGTGGGGGTCGGCGGTGGGGGAAGGGCTGCGGTTGGGAGTGGGGAACGTTGAGGTGGTGTGTTTGGGGTAGCGAGACAAAGATGGGGTGGGGGCTGGGGTGAAGGTTAACTGGGAAGCCACCGGGGCGGAAGTAAAATGGGGGGGTGCGGAGTTTGGGGCTCTGCAGGGTCTAGGGATGTGGGTCACGAAATTGGCCCCAGGAAGGAGGGGGAGGGCGAAGAAGAGTGTGCAATTTACCGGCTGGGGTTGTTAGCTGGATGAGGAGTCGAGCTCTGACTCGGGAGTTAACGTTTATGGGCTCTGATTGAGAGACCTGGGGTCAGGACAACTCTGCAGGCAAACTGCGCTCGCAGCGAGCGCAGAGTTTTTTCTCATTAAGATGTAACACCAAGATAAAAGAAATTCGGGATGTTTAAATGGGCCAAGGAAGGAACTTTCCTCCACATCCAGCGCTGGGGCAAGTTTTTATCCTCCAAAACATTGGATGGGATCCATTGCTGGTGCTGAGATTAAACCACAAGCTCTGGTTAGAACCATTATCTTGGGAAAGATGTATTAACTGAGCGTGCTGAGCAGCAAATTCATACTCTTTCCAGATTCTGACTGCTTCCAGAACTTCCTCCTCACGCTGCTTTTAGCTGGGTTCTACTTCTTTCGTGGCCGACCTGACTCCTTGTTGCAGGACCTGGCTTTAAGCTTGTTCAATGGGCTTCTTTGATGACCTTTTTTAAAGCAAGTGTGAAAAATACCGCTTTTATATTTGGCCATTAAGTTTGGCGTTTGGGAGAATTTTACTTCTTTATAGTGTCTGTATAATGAAATATAGTAGTCCAGAGTACTTAAAAGTGTTTAAGCATTTCCAGAGAATTCAATACAAATTGCCTTAATATTTTTCACATTCGTTAATTCATAACTTATTTTTGAAAAGTAATTAGAAGTATCTGGCATATTGTAAGAGAACGGTGTTATTTCCTCCAGAGTAAAGTTGGTTTTCTTTGGTTCCTCTCTAGGTCTAGGTTCCTCTTCTGTAAGTTCTTCATGGATTGTTTTGGAGTAAAACAGCTAATAAAAATGATTATGAAACACTTGGCAAATATAAACGTTCTGTATAAATGCTTAATAAGACCGGTGCGTGAATTAACACTCTTGCAGTGCATACAAGTGGTTTCAGAGCCACTTTTTCAGGGCTGGTGTTTCTCGTGTTAAATAATTGGTGCTGTAATTAAAGATACAAGTATTTGTATGTTCATTATGTTGGTGGTGTAGTGCTAATCTCGTTATTAGAAATCATAATAAAACCATTACAGAAAGTTAGGCAGGGAAAGGAAACTTTGAACTCATTGACACCTTTTTAAAAAAAATACCAAATGTATTCAGTATCTGAAGTTTGTAGGTTCGCATTTTAAGGATTTATAGCTAAGGACAAAAAAAGTTCTCCTGGAATAGAGAAAACATTTGTATTTTTAGTTTCTTGTGTAAGATGTATGTATGCAGTACATCAAAACTATTGACCAAAGCCCTTTCCTTAAAAATAAACTTTTCTTAAACTTTTGAATCTCTATAAAGTAGTTCAAATAAGATCCTTCTTTAAATTTTATTTCTTTATTTCTTAAAGTATGTGTATGGGTTTTTTTTTTTTCCAGAATATTTAATTGGGAAGGATAAAGACTCATCTTGAGTGCTTTTCAGGTTTTGATAGTTTCAGGGAGAGTAGGTGCCTAGCTTTTCCTTTCCAGTGTTGGGAGAGAGGTATGTTTTACTCTTGTGTTGCTTGTCCTGGAAGGTAATTTTTAGTACTCTTCTGTATCACATATTAACTAGTCTTACTGAAATGAAACTTAGTTCTTCTTTCTGATACATTCGTCTGATAGGTTCATACTGCTCTCCAGATTTTGAGTACTTTTGTAAGTATTAGATTGAACTGTCTCTTCTATGCTTGCATAGATGGTCTTTTTTCACTTTTTTGTTAGAGTCTTAAATGTGTCAGTAACCCTTGACTTCATGCAGTATGATGTAAGTGGTAAAGAACTTAACTGTCAGATCCACAAGTGTCCCACACGCTTACTGAATTTGCTTCTAAGTCACCTTCTCTTTCCTGTTTTGTCCTCGTTATTGAAGCTAGGTGACTGTTATTCCAGTCTATTAATAATCAATTTATTGACTTAGCACTGGGAACTGTTGGTGTCCTCCCCTCCCCCAATATTGAATATGTGCAGATGGAGAAGTTGGCATAAGTCATGGGTTCTGGTCAACATAGGCCCGATTTACTAATCCACTGTGGAACTTAAATTCATTGTTGGGAAAATGCTTGTGCTAGAACACTTGTTATTTCACAAAAGACATGGTCAGCCTCTGGGAGTTTTTTGTGCTAGCCTAGTATCTTGTAATTAATATTTATATAAATACTTGGGTGTGAAGAAAGTGGCTAGTAAGAGACAAGTGGGCAGGGGAGTGGAGAGAGAAATCCTATAAATTGCCTTAAATGTCAACTTGGAAGTATTTTTTTTTTTTAAAGATTTTATTTATTTATTTGACAGAGAGACACGGCAAGAGAGGGAACATAAGCAGGGGGAGTGGGAGAGGGAGAAGCAGGCTTCCCGCAGAGCAGGGAGCCGGATGCGGGGCTCCATCCCCAGACCCTGGGATCATGACCTGAGCCGAAGGCAGACGCTTAACTACTGAGCCATCCAGGCGCCCCTCAACTTGGAAGTATTAAAGTATTTAATTTGGTGAGAGATTCAAAATTCTGTTTTATTGTTGTTTCCAACATTCTGTTACGAAGTAGAGCAGGAGGAGTTGGCAAACTTTCTGTTGAGGGGACAGATAGTAAATATTTCAGGCTTTGCTGAACCCACTTAGTCTTGTTTTCTTTGTTGTTGTTTTACAAATCTTTAAAAACGTAAAAGCCATTCTTAGCTTGCAGCTGTACAAAAAAGGCTGGAGGTTGTAGGTTGCCCGCCTCTGAAGTAGAGAGCAACATGCTGGCTGTATTTTAGGCCTATACTATGTTTTTATTTAGAATCAGCTTATATCATTAGAACATTAAGATGTTGATTATTTATTTATTTATTTAAAAGATTTTATTTATTTATTTGACAGAGACAGAGGTAGCGAGAGCAGGAACACAAGCAGGGCAGCGGGAGTGGGAGAGGGAGAAGCAGGCTTCCTGCCGAGCAGGGAGCCCGATGTGGGACTTGATCCCAGGACCCCGGGATCATGACCTGAGCTGAAGGCAGACGCTTAATGACTGAGCCACCCAGGCGCCCAATGTTGATTTTTTTTAATGGGATATAATTTATAAAAATTTATGGGGCACCTGGGTGGCTCAGTTGGTGAAGCATCTGGCTCTTGGTTTCGGCTCAGGTCATGACCTCTGGGTCATGAGATCGAGTCCTATGTCCGGCTCAGTGGGAAGTCTGCTTGAGGATTCTCTCTCTTTCTCCCTCTGCCCTCCCCGCCCCCCACCCCCTGCTCGGGTGCATGCGGTCTCTCTCAAATAAATAATATTTAGAAAAAGAATTTATAATTCCCTTATGATTTATGAGGGAAAAAATTTTCCTTTTAAGGCATGAGTTTAAAAAAGTATTTTCAAAAGGTGACCTTTTGCTACCTATCTTCTGTTTGTCCTACACCCCCCCCCCGCCAAAAGTACCTAAGTAACTTTCTTTAATTTGGAAGTAAGGTGCATTAAATAGAATTTATGATTCAGTGTATTTCATTGGACTACTTCCTCCTTCCCTCTCTCCCTTCCTTCGCATACTGAGTCCCAAGCATAGTGACTAGGTGTGAATTCTTACCTTCTAGGAGATAAGGGACCACATAAGTGTGTACAAAGTGATGCAGGATCTCTTAAGTTTAAATGTAGTGTACATATTTCTTCAGTGTTTATCTTAACCTCTCAAGATTGTAAACTCCATGAGGACAGCAACTATAATCTGCTTATCTCCTGCAGTGTCCAGTCATGAGGCTTTACACAATAGTAAGTGCTTTGTAAATATTTAAATTGTTTCGTATGTTCCAAAGGAATAACTGAAAAGAAAAGGTGTGGGGGTGGGAATAAATTTTAATTACATTAAACTTATTTTTCACAGTAGCCCTTTGGTGGTATCATGTCTGTTTTATAGATGGAGACAATTAGGCTCAGAGAGGTTACGTAATTTAGTTAGTGGTGGAGCCTGATGTGGAATCCAGGATTACCTCTCTCCTAAGGCTTAGTTATTCCCTCCATACAGTACCTTCTCAGGTATACAGCAAAGCTTCCGTAACAGAAAGCCATTTATTCAGAAAGTGACCTGTGTAGGCATAAAACAATCTTCACGCACACACGTTCCGCCATTCACACACTCAAGCAGAGTAGACATTCTCTTGAATGATATTAGGATAGCATTTAATATCATTCAGTGAAATATCATGTTATCTACTTTCAGGTTAAGGGTTTGTGTCTCTCCAAATTATGTGTGCTGGGTACTTTGCATGGTGATCACAGAGGCTTGTACATTTGATTTTCCCATTATACTCAGTGTATATTGTCTGTGGTATCATTTATCACTTTTTTTCCCATCTGTTTTACCCTCCAGTAGAGCTCTTCAGGACCGAGGCTTTGTCTTCATTTCAGGTCCTGGGCCTAACATGTGGTACTTGGTGAATGAAGTGCAAACATTTAACAAAATAAAATGAGCTCAAAACATAGTCCCTCTTCATTCTCTGTATGATAAATTGGGAATCAGGCAGGGAATCTTTTTTTGAGTGCTGACTTGAAGTATTATTTACTCAAAGTAGTTTTACCTTTCTCGGTTATAAAGGTAATATATAGCC